GTCGCCCGCCCACCGCGGTGCATTGCCGGCGAGCACCGCGCAGGCTGGAAAACTTCTCCCGCTTTGCCCGGCCAGGCCAGCGAAGAGTTTTCTAGAAATATCTGTAAATGAATAGCTGCCATCAATCATTGTCATTCCTTTATTTCATGTCTCCTGATGAGGTTGACTAGTGTCATTGTTTGTTACTGTCCAAACCACATCTTCATTCTTGTAATGTCAAGCAGATATGACAAGCACACATTTTCCAGATGAGTAAGATACAAAGTCACCTTTTAATTTACAGTTGTTTGGTTTTTTTTGTTTGTTGGGTTTTTTTGTTTTTTTAATAAGCAAACGTGTTGTAAAATTTACTGGATGTTCGGATGCCTTTGGTACTAAAACAAAGTCACTCATTAACGAAAAGAAATAAATCTGGAGTAAGAAATTCTTACAATAAAATGGCTACCTAAAGCCTTTTATAACAAGAATTCTTTTATGGAGCTTGTCCCCCGCTATTAACTTCACCGCTCTCAGAGCAAAATCTGCCAAAATTATTGCTGGAGCAAAAGAAATGCAGAGGGCAGGGAAATACATTTAAAAAAAAGAATAAGAGGTTTGACTGGTTTGTCTCTTCCTTTTTAAACAACAGTTAGATAAAGAGAAATACAGCCCTCAGAGGACCAAATGGTGGGACAGTCCTTTGGTTTTCGTGATTATTGTTGTTGTTGTTGTTGAAATCTTTGTGTTCCCGACACTGGCAGATTTTTAAGACTCTGATTTCAAACACTTGTAGGGAGTGTGTGTGTGACAGGGGGCTAGCTAATGGAGTCAGTATAAAATGCAAACTGGATAAAAATGAACAAAATAAAGCTGGCAGTATTTTAAAAAGACCGTAATATAGGTGACCAAGTGTAATATAAAAGGCCAGAGTCTGCAGTTTTCCAGAAGAAAGGTTCGTGGAGTCTGTGCTGCCAATTTACCTCGGCTGGCAGCCTCCCTTCCGAGACCACCATCGAACACCTTTCAGCTGCAGTTGTGTGCAGCTTGTCTAAATATGTAAGATAACTTTTGTGGGCCTGCAGCAGCATTTTGTCTGGGGCCCCGAACAAAGAAGCACCAACGAGCTTGGCACGGCACCTTGGGAAGGGATTGTAAATTACTGGAGCATCATATAACTTTCTTTGTTTGGTTTCTCCTTTCTTTTTAGCTAGAATAACAGAGCAGGGTCAAAAAAGCAACCGTATTTGACTGAAACAATTAATTTAAAGTGCTTGCAAATTAGCTGTACAGTTTGGGTGTGAATATTAGCCATTCTCATTTTGTACTTTGTTTAAAATCTCGTTCAAACTGTACAAGCCATTTTGAAAGAAGGTGGATTATATATAAAACTTACTTCGCATGCAGATGTTGGCATTATTTTAAATCACACAGATCATGGAGTAGAGGAGCAGAGGATCAATATATTTACATCTATCCTAGTCTTTTTGTATTGCCTAGGAAGTTTAATGATTTTGGTATACTTTGACTCCTAAATTTCATTTTTAAAAGCGAGTCCATTGAAAAAATCCAAATGTAAAAATCAATTGCAAGTTGCATGGCATGTTTATTTTCTAACAATTGAGGAAGGTGAGTTTAGTGTAGGATTGTCCTTTTTAACCTGCTCCTACTTATTCTTAAGAATTTTAAGCATCTGGTCCAGAACAGGTATTCCATTTAAGAGAAATACATATGTGTACCATTCTTCAAAGACATCTCCAGTTCAAACCACGCCAGCTTTATCCCTTGGGTGGGCGATGTGCACCCACCCAGCCCCGCAGCTCTGCCGACGCAAAATGATCTGATCACGCCAGAGCTGCGGTGCTGGGGGACTGCACGGAGAGCTGCGGCTGGTCATCTTCCTTCCCATGGCAGAAAACCACGTTTTAAACCACCAGCCGAGCAGAAGTCATGCGGCTCGTACTTTTTTGGTCACTCGGGTTCATGCAATGCCATGGCTGATGCCTCTCTCTTTGGGTGGTTGCTCTGAGATGGTGAGATTTGGCACAAATGGGTTTTCGAGCAGGCACCCAAGGGGATGCTCAGTAAGGTGTTGCTTCGCAGTGATTAATGAAAGTAAAATTGCCCCTGATTATGGACGGTCGTGAAGGCCATTTAAACGCCATGTCAGTTCTCAGCGCTTGGCAGGGAACTGTCTGTGCCCTTGCCTTGGGCAGGGAGATCTTAAAAAGCCCAGGACAGGCCCTCAGCTCCATCGTAACCAGCAGAGCTTCGGCAGGTTCACACCAACCGAAGGGCTGCTCTCTGTCCACCTCATTCAGAGAACATAAAGTGGGCAAAAGCTTATTGGTTTGGAGTAAAAAATATTCATTTCAAGCATGCTTTCTAGCACATCTGCTCAAAAAAGTTCACCAGCTAAAGGGCTAGAGGACTCTTCAAATTTCCAGCTGATTTACTCAGCTCTCAGAGCCTCGTTGGCTGAGCAGGAGGATTGACAGTGTATCAGGGCTCCTAATTGAAAAGTAATAAAATCTCTGAGCGGAGCTGGCAAATGAAGGCCTCCAGCCAATTTGTCAGCTTGCAGTCGGCTCAGAGGAGCCGGGCAGAGCAGCAAGCCATTATAAATGGTCTGATAATATCTGTTAAAACATTTTGCGGGCGCTAGGGATGGAATCAAAAACAGCGCAAACTCTTTGGGAGCGAACTCAATCAAATCGTTCTTGGCCCAGAGGGACAGAGACGATGGGGCAGAAAGCTGTCAAAACAGACAGGAGCCAGGCCGTGCCGTGAGCCCCAGGGCTGGGTGGGCTTCGCATCCCACGCCCGGGGGTGCTGGAGAGGTGCCGCGGAGGTGATGCGCTCGTCGGGGAGGTTGTCCCTGTCCCCCGAGCCAGCCCCCGCGCTGCCACGGCGCTCAGCACCGCCGGCGGCTTCTTCTGTCCCCGTGCTGAATGCAGGGAGGCGGAGGGGGGATTTGGGACGGGGGAGAGAGGCAGCGGGGAGGGAGCAGGACCTGGTGCACGGAGCGGAACAGGGGGGGG